GCCATATACTGTGCGGTTTAAAAGAACAAACAGAACAAACAAACAGAGCCTTTCAGTTCAAACAACTGTAGTATAATAAAACCAGTTCTAGGAAAAGATTCAGATTTATTAAAATCAATACATTATTCCTCACTTTGCAATACAGGCAGACCCCTATTGTTTTAGCATAGTGGAAAATAGTAAGTAATTACACAGACTTCCCTGAGTCATGGAGACTCTTCATGTCCATAGACATCCTTATTCATTAAGAAAATGGTTCATAATACCATTAGTTATGTCAATTAAATATACTTTTGAATCACTCTTTATATAAAATTTTGATAATTCATAATTTCCATGCAAATAAACACCTCTCCACATTTAATTTTCTGAGTTATTCCTAAGAAGGAACTGGCCTTCCATTTTTTTTTTCATACCTAGCCTGTAAATTTTTTGCCCCATTTGTGAACAAGCCAAGCCTGGTGGCATTTTGGTGCATTGCACAAAATACTTCATTGGCCTGGATGCCACTTCCAAGCTGCCACTCGGATTTTCTTTTAAGTGTCTTGGCACAGAGCCCACGAGTGACAGCAGCAGGCCCCAGAAAAATGTGTTGTACTGATCCTGTGAAGATAGGGCAGGCTTGGAGCTCTGCTCTTCCTGTAGCTCTTCTGGGCTCCAGGAAGAGAATTTCTATGTTTGTCAATGCCCATCTGGCACCTTACATGGGCAGTAAGAATGAAGAATTGGAGTGAAATGTTCTGCTCCCTACCATCTGCTTCCCCTGTAAAGTCTACACAAAGAGCCTGATGGGGAGGGCGGTAAGGAGGGAGAGAGTTAAAAAAAGAACAAGAAAGCACCTTAGTTTACCATCCAACTGTTCTGGCAGGTACACGCTTTTGCCTGTACTTCTCACGTCAGCCCTAGACACCCACTGTTCCCTACAGCAGTACAGCTGTTTGACACAGCATCTCAAACACTGCTAACCCAATGTCTTCGTTCACAAGCATCCAACAGCCTGGAAAAAAAAAGATCCGTTGTTTGAGATCAGCTTTATTGGATCAACCTCTGTTATATCTAGAACAGGAAAATTCCTGTGGGTTTAATAGGAGGTATTACCCTACAGATTTTCTCTGGTTCCACCTCCTTTCCCATCAGCCACATCCCCTCTTGCTGCAAGGCTGCATACACCATGTGTTGGCTCGACCCCTTCTGTCTCTGACAGAAGTTTGGCCAAAAAGAGCAGATTTTCTGCTACTTTGATCATTTCCTGTGGTAAAAAGTGAAGGGAATTATCTGACCCATGGTCTTTTTTTTTTTCCCCCTCTTAGTTTTGAAAAATAACAAGGATTTACATTTGCAAGTTCCCTTAAATAGCGTACTTGCTTTTCAATAGCACTTTGCTCCTAGCTTACTGGTTGTCTCACAGAGCTTTTAACTTTAGAATCAGAAAACACATCCCTATGATGTCAAATTCTACAATTCAGCTACTGCATTGAACCAACACAAAACTTAATTACGATGAAGAAGCAACCAAAAGGTAGTATCAAATTCACAAGCAACACAAAAGCGGCAACTTCCACCCTGTTAAAAAATTCTCACATTTAAAAAATGAGCTTAATTCTCTTTTGGTGGGGATAGTGTTATTTTTGGCTACCAACATGCATTGCATAATGTGTTTAGAAATAGATTAACCCTTTTATTAAATACACTGTTAGAAGAGATCTATGATATATGTGATATAAACAGCCTGAAATATTTTTCTTTTCATAGAATCACCAAGGTTCTAAGTCACAATCCAATGCTTGTCTAATCCTGTGTTGAAATAGTGACACCACCTGCCTAGCTAAACAGTGTAAGCATCTGGGCAATGAGGACTTCAAGTAAGAGGCCACGTGATCATTAGTGAGTCTATGTGATCTGGAATTGCACCCTGACAAAAAGTCCATCATATATTTTTTTCTGTCCCAGAAAATACAAAATACGAATATCCCTACTGAAACGATGTCTCATATCAGAATTCTATAGAAATACATTCCAAAGCAATTATTCCAATATACATCAATTCTTTATGAAGTTTTTTTCCTGTTAACCATTAGCTCAGAATACATCAAAACAGACGCTCGCATTCGTTATCAAAAGTCCTTTGTTGGACTTTGCTGCGTTAAAAACATGTAGCACAGATTTTGCCTTGAGCTGAGGCCAGAGCAGTGCATGTCTACCTCTGTCATCAGTGGGAGTTCTACTCTGGAAAGAAATGAGGAAGTTATATACATATTTATATACATATGTACTTCAAAATACACTCAGAAGTTGGGGTGGGGCAGGGTAGGATTTACAGTACCCTTCTTACAAACAGAAATTGTACTAAACCACTTAAAATATCCCAACAACACAAACTGGCACTAACATTAATAATATATTGCCTTTCATAGGCAGAGGTAATAAAGAAGCTGTGCTGTGATCCACTCAACCTCATTAATAATGTAACAATGAATCAAAAAGAATCTAATTAGTTCAGCAGTGCCAAAAATGGTTAAGCAGAAACACAATTAAGAAACAGTAGGACATTTTTGTTTTGTTTTGTGTGTTCTTTCTTGTCAGACATGTTGCAGAGCTGCCCTTCAGAATCCCCTGGTGTATCTGGAAGCAGCCCCAAGTTGGGGCACAGTAACGTGAGAGCACCAGGCTAGACCAGGACGGAGGCTACGTGTGTGGAGCAGGCCCTGCCCCAGCCGTGGGCCCTGCAGGCCTCTAGCACCGTCCCCACACGTCCCACACGAACTTCTGCCCCATCCAGGATCTATGCAAAGGAAGGGTGGAGCCGGTTCCTCACCTCCCTTCAGCAGCCACACAAGATAGCACATCCTGAAAGCATTATGTTTGCTGCAGCCCCTTTTTCCTCCTTCCCCTCAGCGTAACTGCAGAAAAAAAGGAAGGGCAGGCTGGGACACTATCTCAGCTTCCACGCAGACATGCTGGAAGGGAGGGAGATACAAAGGAGAGCTGAGCAGACAGCCGCAAACACTTAGGAGGCGCGGGACCTCCCTGTAGATGGCCTTGGCTTCCTCTGAGTCCCCTGGGAGTCCTACAGCTGTGCCTGCCATCCAGATGGGAAAACGTGCATGCATGCATGCGAGAGTCTCTAAGGAAATACCTGGGGAGGGCTCCTCAGCTGGATATTCCAGCAAACGGGATTGTCTAAGTCAAGGTTAGAACAGTATGTGTCAGTCTGTACGTGCATGTGTGTGTATACATGGACAGACAGATACGTATGTACATGAGAGAACCTTCTCACTACACCGCATGCATGCCTCTGCAGCACACAGTGATGGAGTCAGACTGCAGCACAGAGCGCAGTATGAAAGTCACACCCATTCTCCACAAAGACAAGTGCAATTCACCGAAGTCAAGAAGTTTCATTTCAAAATAAACAAGACCTAATACTGGGGTCCACTATGCCGAAGGAAAATTGTTTTTTCTGACCCTGAAGATATGAATATATAAGTTTAGGATGTATCTCCTTTGACAGGAGGTTCTTGTCCACTACACATTTTACTCATGTTTGAAATTAAGTAAAAGCACCACATGCAGGACAAGACAAACACAAATGCTATGAAGGAGAGACCTTTCACTGACTGTTCTATATCCATAGCCAAAGACCTACTTCTTTAAGGAAACAAACAGGACAGCAGTTGCACAGTAAAGGTTTAAAACACAGTAACAACAGTTTTAAGGTACATTTTCCCATAGATTTCAACATTGTTCAATTTGCAGACCTGTAAAAAAAAATCCAGTTATGCAGTGAAGCTGGGCAGACAGACGAGGCCTACTCAGCCAAAGACCTGCTTTTTGTATTTACTTTTCAGGGAACATACAGAGGGCAACAGATGGCACAAGCCTACAAATATCAGGCTGAAAAGGTCACTGCAGTTACACTAACTACTGTGGTGTTCTCTAAGATCCACACGCAGTTCCCAAGGAATCCAACTGGAGTTGGACCAGGCCTGAGCATTAGCTAACTTTACATGATATCTGCAGCATCAAATTCCATGTACTTTTGACAGAAACCTGCACTGAACAGCTCCAACACCAACCTCTGAGCCATCAGTGCCCAGTCCAAACCTTCACACTCCTACACTGCATAAGCAGGTAGGCTTTTTCATCCCAAGAAGTCCTTAATGAAATCTCACAAGTTTCACACACGTGGCCTGCGACATCTGCAGAAGTTAAAATACACGAGCGTCTCCAAGATAACACGGAATGCTGATAAAGACAAAGCCAGCCTATGTCACTGCGCAGCAACCACCAGAGCCCTGCAGATAGAGTAATCCCAGTGCACACAGCTCCACAAATACAATGAAAGAGTATCTCTATCACAGACATCCGTCCTGAGGAGGCCGGACAGCAGTTAAGAAAATAAAGAACTGAATTGAAGCCTGTATGCTGCTGTCTAGCACTAGTTACATTTGTACCACCCATTCCCTGGGGAAAATGACACAGAATGCAAACAGGCCTTGTTGTTCAATTATTCAAGTATTAAGAGATTCACAGAAAGACATCTGAGAAACATAACATTTTAATAGATGAAATAAATACTCCAGTACATGCAAGATAAAAACTGACATTGGAAAAAAAAAAAAAATTAAAAATCACTTCTGTTATAGTGTAATTTTTTTGTTTGTTTGTTTAAACACTCACAGTAGCTTTTCCCCCAGTTTGGAAATCAACACATGGAAAACATAATCACAACCTCCAGTCCTTCCACTCCTACACACCAAATGCACTTCTAACCTAACACTTGATGCAAAATTTAAAAAAAGTCATACAAAACAAAAACAAACAAAATAGTAGCTACATCCATCATCTACATGGTGGTGTTTTCTTCTTTTCATTTTTAAAACGAATGAGAACTGAGGTAACCTTTTTCCTGCACAACCAAACAGCAAAATTTAGAAGGGAAATTTCGGAAGACAAGACAAGACAAACTTTAAAAACCGCACCCAGCGCGATTAAAGCTATTTTCTTTTTTTTTTTCTTTTTTTTTTTTTTTTTTGTTAGTTCAGATACCCCCACCTCCCCAAATATAAAACTTTTAAACAGTTGCTATTACCATCTGTGTGAAGATCTGGTTGAATAAAGGAACATTTATCTGCAGGTACTTGCTCAAAATAAAAAGAAGCCCAAACTGGCTACCTTTGTTAGTACGTATAATTTGAATATGCTGTTCTGCTTCTTCACCACGTGAAATCAAAGGATTGGGCCCATCCAAGCGAATTCTTTGGTATACAAAACAGGGGTGAGGAGGTGGGATATTATTTTCCTTTAGCAATGACTGAGATCTAAACAGAAGGTGTGGGGGTTAATTCACAGAATTGGAGTTCACTGGCGGTAAAGTCCTGGGTGAAGATCTTTCTCTTAGTGCCTGAGATAACAGGTTGCAACCATCCGAGACGGCGCAAGCTGAGTTCCTCAACCTTTCCCTGTAATCGCTCATTTTGGTGCTACTTTCGGGGTGTTGGGCTATATCCCTGAGGCATTGGGTCAGGAGCACACAAGCAGAAACCACACTCATGGCTCCTCCTAGGATAGCAGTTTGCACAGCTTTGCCCTCCGGATTGATGGTGGCAGCTTTACCCAAAAACTGGGGCTCAGTGGCAAAGCCCACCAGAGCATAGACAGACTGCACCAAAGGTCCACTGAACAAGACGCAGCGGTTCCTGGTCAGCTCGCTGGGTGAAGTCTTGACCTCCTTGACACACGCCAAGAGGGCGGAGGCGCTGGTGCTCATGCATTTGACACTGAGTTTGAACTGCTCCTTAGCAAATTTATCCTTGGATTTCTCACTGGCCAGCACACAGGCGTCTGTCAGGAATTTCAAGTTCTTGGACATGTTCTGGGAAACCTCCAGCAGGAGCTGAGGGCTCATATCTGCCAAAGGGGTGGTCTTCAAGACCCCGCAGCCATGCTCCACCTCGTGCCGACATCGCGTCACCTTGTAGCGATCCACCAAGCCGGGCATGGCAGGCTGGGCCCCTGGAGTCTCCACTGCAGCCAGATAGGCAGCGTGGGCAGAGCACTCGGTCAGGGAGACCACCAGCTCCCCCATCTCCATCAGGCTTTCCCCCACCTCCCCGAAGCGTCCCATATTGAGCTGGCTCTGGACGTCGTGGGTCAAGATGGAAAGTCCTTTGGTCCTGGCGATAATCGTGTCCCTGCACTTCTCGAAAGACTCGCCGAAGACAGACAAGCTCTCAGTGTTCACCGGCCTGGTCTCGCTCGACAGCAGAAGCAGATCGGCCACCAGTTGCATCTTGATCTTGCAGTGGTCGCAGATAGAGATGAGCTTCTTCCTCTGCAGGGAGCTGCCGCTGGGGATGCCGCCGCCGGACACCTCGCTGCTGGACTTGCCAGAGCCGCCGCTAGCCATAGCGCCGGGGGGGGCCTCGCATGCCGCTCGCTACCCCACTGCCGCCGCCTCTGCCGCCGCCCGAGCAGTCCCGACTGAGCCCGGCAGGATCGCTCTGCCTTTTCCGCAACATCATTCCATTAATCGCCGGGAGGCAAGAAAAGGCTCTGGGCGCCGGGGCTGCCGTGCTGCGGGGGGCGAGCTCCGCCGGGGCTCCCGCACCGCTCCGGCTCCAGGCTCCGCTCTACGGCTCTCCAGCGGCGGCTCTGCGCTGACCGGGAGCCCCCGGGCCGCGCTCCGGCATCGTGCGGCTTAGCAATACGTATATATATATATTTCTCCCCTCGTCTTTGCACTTCCCTCCCTTCCTCCGGCTGCGGGATCCTGCGCAAAGTTCCCTTTAGGAAACGGAATAGCCCGGAGGAGCGGAGCTAAAGCGGAGCTAGCGCGGGGCCGCAGCCCTGGGGGCCGCCCTCCCGCCGCCCGGGCGCTGCTCGCAGGGGCCGGAGGGGCGGCGGCTGCGCACCATGTGCCGCCCCCGGCGCGCCCGCCGCGGCCCCGCGCCGCCGGCTCGCAGGAAGCGCTGCGGAGGGTGTGGCCCGCCCGGGCCGGGAGGGGAGAACGGAGATAGAGAGAGAGAGAAGGGACCGTGGGAGGGGGTTTGTTAAAAAAAAAAAAAAAAAAAAAAAAGAGGGAGGGGAAAAAAAAAAAAAAAAAAGCCACGCAAAAGGCAAAATAAAAATAAAAAATTAAAAGAGCCACCGGATCCGGGCGCTGGGGAGGGAGGGCGGGATCCGCTCCCCTTCCTTCTGCCGCTGCCTCACTCCTTCCTGCCTCGGTCATTCACGCGGCCGCCCGCCGCCCGCCGCCGCTTCATGCCCGCCGCCCTGGGCCCGCTCGGCGCCGCCGCCCCGCCCCGGCCGGCCCCCGCCGCGCCGCCGCCGCTCCAACTTAGGCTCTTCCCGCAAACAAGGGCGGGGGCTCCGCGCTCCGACCGCGGATGCTGCATCCCGCCCGGCCCCGCGCTCCTCCTGCCATGTTCCGCCGCCGATCGCCAAGTCCCGGGGAAGAAAAATAAAAATAAAACGAAAAGAGGTTCTTTTAAATTCCCTTCTCGGGCTCTCAGACAAACTATTGGGAAGAGGCGGCCGTGGCGGCGCTGCCAGCCAGACGCTGCACGGCTCTGACGGAGGCTCTCCCCCTCCCCGTTGCCTCCGCCGTAACCTCGCCGGAGCCTATCGCAATCTTTTGTGCGGTGTCACCGCCCTCCGTTTAAACGCTGCCCTCCCCCCCGCCGCCCCGCTCCCCGCCCGTCGCCTCCCGCTCCTCCCCGGCGGAGGGGGCAGCAGCGCCGTGCCGCGACGGCGCCGCCCGCGCCAGGCACCGGCCGACGGCAGCGCCGACCGCGACGGCCTCGAGGGCCGCCGCTCCGTATGGCGCCCCCTCGCGGCACGCGGCGAGAGCGGAGGGCCGAAGTAAATAAATACCGCGCGTGGCGGAGAGCAGCCGTCGGGCGGGAGGAGGTGGGGATGGCAGCGGAGGGACGGGCGTGGGCTGGTCATCTTCCGGTAGCAGCCGCGTTGTGAGGTGAGTTGGCCGTATGCGGCTCAGGTGCGCGGCCTGGGGGGGGAGGGAGGGAAAGAGGACGGGGGGGCAGCCGTGCTCTGGCTTCCTTTTCTTCCGTTTACTTTAAAAGTCTTATGTTTTGCTAGCCGTAATCGGTGGTATAAACATCGTTATGCTTTTATTTGCATATAAATATTGCCTTTAGCTGCTTGTAGCATGAAACGAGACTTCAACACTTTTTTTTTTTTAACCGTGGGAAATGAATTTGGTGTCCCTGTTCGAAGGTCGCCTGCCATTGGTTAGAATGGAGCAGGGAGACTGCAGTCTTCCTGCCGTTTACTTTGTGCATGGGAAGACCTGAAAAAAGCACTTTCTTTGCCTGTTTCTGCCCTGGAGCGCACTGGGAGTTGCATTGATGTTAATGGGAGGGTGCTGGGCTCAGGGAGTCCGAGGCAGACAAGTAAATGCCATTAAATAATTAAGTGAAAACTACTAAGTATGCTGGAATGAGTTTTAGGAAGATGGGCTTAACGTTCCCTGGAAGGTGTCCATGGGGAATGAATGTATCATTTGGTAAACGGTGGTGATGAGAATATTGATGTCACACACATGAGGCTCTCTGCTGTCGTGCAACATCCCCATCAAAATAACCCAAAAGAACGAGTCCATGTTGAATCCATATTTTGCATTTGTTACGCATCCTTCTGCGGCCAAATATCAATGCTCTTTCTCTCCTTTCATTCAGGCTTTCCAATTCTGGCAGTTGGTTACATGCATATAGCAGGCAGCATGCATCCGGAATGTATTTGTCCCAGCTTACGTTTACACAAAGTCCTGCTATGTTCATACTGTTGCAGCGGTAGGAGTGACACTGCTGTGAATGGAAGTTAGACCTGCAGGACCTTGCAGGCCAAAACCAGTGTCACCCTGGCACAAGGAGAGCCCACCTAATGGCATACTTTTTAAGATCTCCAAACAAGTACAAATAAGTACATTTCCTCACCCACTGCCTAGAGGAGTCCTTGGCCTTCTCTGCTCGCACTGAGCGGGAGGAACACAGTTCTGGGAGAGGTAGGGTTAACAGGATGCATGCTTTGTGGGGTGGAGGGGAGCCCTTATTGTAGAGCCAGGATGGATGGAAGGGCAGATAGGCAGCTGCGGGTGTGTTGAAAATGGGCAGTTCTCCACCCATCTCTCCTCGCAGTAACAGCATGAGGGAGATTCTGTTTACCTAAATCAGATTATAGCAGTTTAATGGAAGGTCACAATTTGGGCCTAAACAATTTTGGTTTGCTGCCAACAGCTCATTTTCAAAACTATAAATAGAAGTGATTTCAGAATACTCTGACAAATAAAAATCAGTGGGCAGCAGAAGCCAGCTGAATTGCATTGCAAAGTATTTCCAGATATGTCCTTCAGTGAGGCAGTGAGAAATTATGTAGCATGAGGAATGCCTTTCATAAGAATATTAACCTAGTTTCTTTTAATGAGTAGTGACTACATTTAATGAGAGTTTGAGTATTTCATTTTAGAAACCTTTGGTCTCGTGCCTGGCTAGAAGAGGTGTTAAATGACCTAATAATCTTCTCCATTTTTAGATGCTGCCGCAGGAGTCTGCATATGGTTTGTGTCATTGCCCCAGGACAAAAGAGACATCCAGGATTTGGATAGAGTTTCTGCTGCTGTTCTTCCAAAGCCTCCATTCCAGCTGCTCACATCAGAAACAAAGCGAGGCCCTAACCCTTGGCAATTCCTAGCAGCAGAAAGGGCCACCAGAGTTAGCGGTTAGTAAGGAGTAACAACTTTAATATAAAGCAAATATTTCTCAAGCTTCTTCAATCTGTTCAAAGGATTGTTGTACTGCTTACCAGCCTTGGTATTAGCAAGGGGCAAAAGTGGTCATTACTGTAATTTGGTCAGTTGCTTGACTCCAGATTCGTTTTACCAGACGTCATTTTGCTCCTGTAGTAGCCTCAAGTGTTCTGTTCTTCTGTATATATATAAATATATGATGAAGAGTGACCCAGCCATCTCATTTGGCTTGCATTTTGAAATTTAAAGAAATAGAAAATAGACATAATCATAGAGGTTGGAAGGGACCCTTGGAGGTCCATCTCTCTGCTAAAGCAGATTTCCTGGAGTAGGTTGGTTGCGTAGGAAAGCATCTGATTTTGTGTATCTCCAGAGAAGGGGACTCTACCACCTCTCTGGGCAGCCTGTCCCAGTGCTCTGTCACCCAAGCAGTAATGAAGTTTGTATGAAACTGCCTATGTTCCTGTTTGTGCCCATCGCCCTTTGTCCTGCTGCTTGGCACCACTAAGAGCCTGGCTCCATCCACTTGACTTGACTCACCGTTATAGGTAGTCTTTTTCAGTATTATCACTAAGTGGCAGGAGTAAGCCCTTGGCTATTTTTGGTGAACCTGAGTAGGTAGCACGATTATGAAATGCATTGTGAGAACAAGCTGCACATTGTTTAAGAAAAAGAAAAAAAAATCTGTGCTGTAAGGGATGATAGGAGGAAGGAGGGGTAGGAACCACTTATGCTTGTCTTCAGTATATCCATAACTAACCGGTTCTCTTCCGCCCCTCATGTAGTGACACTCTAGTGAAAAACTATTTCCTTCTGTTACTTTTATACAATTTGCAGGCCATTATTTGACCATAAACACATAACCTTACTGTAAATGGGAGCCTTGAAGACAGATTTGCTTGTGTCTAGTAATTTGAGTAGCACTGAGGAACAGCTACAATATGCCTTAAAGGCCCAGCAGATGTATCTGCATTGTTCAGGATGAAAATTTTACTCAGTGATTTTCGGGGTGGGTATTTCTTAAGTTCTTTGCATGTCTCTGGGAGGATTTGTGTATACCTGCTTGATTTCATGGCTGCTGAGTTCAAAAATGCCGTGCAGGACTTGGGCAGCCATGAATTAGTGTACAGACTGAGGAGACATGAAAATGAGTAGATAGGCTTGGCTGTAGAAAGATTTTTGCTGTCAGTCTGAATGAAATAACACTGTGGGACTGGAAACAGCAGGCACTGTCAGATAGAAAGGATTAAAAGGCTTTTTTAGCGTGGCTTAGTAGTGTACAGAAGATTGGCTTACTTGTGATAGATCTTCTTTTGTCACATTGATCTTTATTTCGCATTGTGCTTAATACAACAAAAACTGGAGTCTGAAGTATTCTTTCATGAATCGTCTCACACAATGTGTGCCTTCTATTACTTACAAAAATCTTTTTTTTTTTTTTAAGAAATTGATTTTTTTTTTTTTTTTTTTTTGCCACTATAGCCAATGTTGAGTCATAGCTGAACAATACGGAGTTGTAATAATTTTATGATCACTGTATGTGGCCATGTTGATGAGAGGAAGGCTATGATAGAATGAGCTACACTACTTTATATTACTTTCCTGTATGGATGTATCGATCTAACATAATAGGGAGCTAGCTGATGAAGGAATAAAAGGCAATTCAATGGTTCCCTGTGTCAGCTGTATGACTAAACCCATGAGGTGGTAATTACAGGATGATAGCTCCCGTTCCAGGGGATGCAGCTGGCTTGTCAGGCTGGAAACTAGAAATGAGGGAAGGATGATGTTGGCAGAGGCTGACAGAGGAAATTATTTGACACAGAGCAAGACTTAGCAAGAGAGGCTGGAAGAAGTTGGGCCTTCCTTTTGCCAGCACTGGAGCAGTAGGTATGACATACAGAAGGGAAGGTGTGTGTGTTGACTGGTTTATTGTTTTTAAGATTTATTTTGTCTTAAATGGTTGGTGCTAAGTGTTTTGTGATTGGTGCTTACTGTCTTTACTTCACGAGAGACTAAAACTGCAAGGCCTGGGTCTGTCTTGAATCTGCAGAGGTAATCAAGGCTCATACACCGGGGAAGCAACCTGAGAACTGCTCTGCCTGTAGCTAAAGAAGACAGTGTGAGATCTAGGGGAACAGTTAGCTATCTCTTGTGAGAACAAAATGCAAACGCATGAGTTCTGCTTCTTCATCTTTGAGAATGATTTTGTGCTTAAGTAGTTTATAGAACAATGGGCATGCTTTCAGACATTAAGCTGATAAGCTTGGTGTTTGGATGTTTTGTTTTTCTTTTTTATGGTATAGTTAAAAACACAGCATCTGAAGAAAAAATATTGCATAAATAATGGTAAATATCAGTTATGCCTAAAATACGGGCTAGCTGCTGCAACTGAACGATAATACAGCAAAAGTAGGTTTTATTTTGTTCTCTTTTATTCACTGTTTATTGTACAGCTGTTCTCACCACTTACCATATATAATCAATTGGTTGTCTCCTGCTGCTAATATGGATATTTAGTACATTGAAATTGAAAAAAGACATTTTTGTGATAAGGAAAATGCAGGTAAAAAAACTTGTCTTTTCACAGGATGGAAGGTTGTGCCATGTTTTATGCCAATAAAACAGCTATTAATGGCTTTGTGCTTCATATTCTTGTCTACCATCCACGCATACAGTTATCCACCATATGTCGGGTGTTTTATAAGGTGAGTGCTAGGAGCAGGAGGTGCAACACAGCTGCTTGTGTCCATTCCCCCTCCAGGAGTGGGTGAGCAGCACCAGGCACAGGTTTGTAAGTACTTAATGGAAGAAGGGTAGATGCCATTGGTAAGAGTGGTCTGGCATAAACAGGAATCCCAGACCTTCCCTTCAGTGTCTTTGGTCTGAGGTGTTTGTCTGGCGGTTGTTTTCTTTGTATGTGTTTGAGATCAAAGGAGAATATGGTACTTCAAACAAAATGTGCAAGGGCCCACCCTTCCTGAATTGCACTTTTGGTAATGTGTTCAGTCCTGCTGCTGTAATACTCCGCAGAAGGGCTTTTTCTTTCTTTTTTTTAATAAACTCCACTCCTTTTTAATATATGTCACAAGAGAATTTTAATAGATGTTTTTGTAAGATTACTTTACAGTCTCTGATCCTACACTTCTTTCCACATAGTCTGTAAGAGGAGCCAGCAGCTTTAACTCATCAGAAGTTTGTGTGATGTATTACTTACAGTGGATGTAGGTGCCAGAAGTGACCTGTAAACCTAATACTAAATTGGGACCACAAAATTAATTTCACTTAGATTGTGGAGATTAGACTAGAAATAGAATTCCTCTGGGAGCTGTGTAAACCTTGACATTGATTTAATGTAATTCTTTCCTTAAGAGGGTAACTTTAAATTGTATAACAATACATAGTTTTAACCAGCACATATTTCTAGCAAATTGTGCAGCAAGACAAGTATTAACAGGAACATTCAGTGGTATTTCTGAATTTAAAGATCAGTGTGTAGCTCTGTGGATGCTGACAAGAGGGTCAGATGCTATACCCCACCCCCTCTGCCCCCCCACCTGATCAGATAGGTCAAGTTATAAAGCCCATGTGTCATTGCCAAGCATCTCCATTCAGTCCATAAATTGTAATTTATAATATACAAATTATATCCAAATCACACTAATTTACCCTGACTGGGGAGAATTTGTTAACTTGGATCCAGCAATTAAAGGTCTGATTAGCTCCAGAACAGAAATGTTTATTGTGTTACTGAATGGCAAGTGAGTGTTTTATGCCTTAATTTAGACTGAAATTATTCTGAATCATTCAAATATTTATTTTTGCTCTGGATGACAGCATATTCTATACTAAAAAGCATATTTTCTTCTTGAGATGTAGAAATATTTTGTTGTTTTTAAAGGGAACATGTATAGGTCTCTTCAGGTTATTGCCTGAGCAGGCTGTTTGTACAAGTCTGATTTAACATATGCACTGTCTTTGCATGAGAGCTCATGCATTAGATTACATTTGCAAGGGAGAATTTTGAGTACTTAACCTTAATTTCACCTATTAAAACACTAATTTTGAATGTTATACTTCAAGTAACTTGGAATACCCTGACACCCTGTAAAATATTTGACAATGTTTTAAGCAGTAAGAGTGCTCTGAATGTTTGGTCATCTCAAATTTGCTTCAAATTTTCTGGCATCTGTTACTGACCAATTCTTCTGTATTATTTAACATTGTATTGCCATGGTCCTTTGCTAAGCAAGTAGGTGCAAAAGAAGTTCTAACAACTATCTGACTGCAATCAGAGTACAGCTGCACACCAGACCTTAATCATTTCAGTTATTCTAAGTAACTGCTTACAGTAGTCTGCCTTCTGCAACACCTCATTCATTTGAGCCACTGTTAAACATTCTCTTGTATGAGAAGAGTTTTTAAAATGAATTACTTCTTCCAGACGTGGAATATGGTGATAGCAGGTAGCCCTTGTGTTCTTCCTCCCTTCTGCATGCTTAGGGCTAATCTTCTGATCTTGTTAGTTCCTTTTAATCTCTAAATTGTCTGTATGTCCTCCCAAGACAGCTCTGCCCTTTCCTTTCCTTGATGATTTCAAGTTGTTTGTTCTTTCCAAGGTTAACTGTCAAGGGACAAGCTTTAAGATCATGCATATTTCCCCTACTGTAGTTATTTGCAAGGAAAAGTAAGCTATGATGAATGAGCATCCACACTAAAATAGAAAATTGCATACGAAAACCTACCACCCCCAAGGACCTGAAAGGGCTTTTGGCAGCTAAAAAAATACGCGTGTTCTCCTAACTCATGATAAATAAAGGGACAGGAAGTAAATTTTGCAGAAATACAGTTTGGAAAATTAACACCTACGTTTAAAATTAAAAAAAAAAAAAAAAAAAAAAAAGCAACAGGACAGAGAATCCCAAACTTCATTAGCAGAAATTTAGGACAGCTTGAATCTTCTCAAATTGCAACCTGACCCAACCATGTGAAAACATTTTACATCAAGAGGGGGAGGTAGATTTGCACTTCTTATTGAATTGTAATGTTATCTTTGAAAATACTAAGATAAAAATCGTATGTTTTAGAAGATGAAATGACACCTACAGCTTGAAACGTCTCCTGACGTGACAAATGGGGCTTTCAAAATAAAGCAGTGAACACTTTGTATTTGCAATTTACAATGACAGTAGCCATTTGTTATCAGGTATGTTCTGTACTGTAACCATAATAATGTTAGCTGCTAAGACTATGAAAACTTGTAAGGAATATAAGAATGCTTAAGGAAAAAAAAAACATTTATGTGCATCTATAGATGCTTTGAATGAAACAAATGTTTCAGTGGAAAAAAAAAATTCAATTTTATTTCAGTGTGAGTGATATGTATTTCTAGCTGTGTGGATTTTTGTTCTTGTACAGGAAAGAACAATGGAGTATAAAGAAAGGCTGAATAAGTGTTTGAACTGCCTCTGACTCTGTGGAGAGCATATGTACTTTAAACAAGTTCTTCCTGAGCACAGAATGCTGCTTGGTAGTTGCAAATTTAGAAGTAAGCATGAAAAACCCTCCTTTCAAGTTAAAGCTTTTGTATGTATGACATACATAGGATTGTTTGGTGCCATGCTGGAAAACTGTACTTCTTGTTCACTTAACAAAGGAAATTGGATTACTCCTTAGATCTGCATGTGAATGTCGCACCAGACATTAATGAATGTCAAGTTGGCCTGGTTTGCTCTAATAACAGAAAACAGTTGAAAATATTTCCCAGTAGAAATTCAATAAAAATGTATTTTTATACTGCTTAGTCCAACATTCCTAAAATTGATATATTTTTTTATTTTAGTGAATTTAAGCATGATCCAATAATAACAAAGTTAGCAGGAACATACTTCACTAAAACCTCATAGGACTGTGGGATGTAGTGTATATATGATATTTGTTATACCCAATGAGAAGGCACTGAGCAAATGTGCTCGTTAGTGACTTACTGGACAGCTTTGTGAGAGGCACTTGACTAAAACCCTGTTCCAGTTATTGTATATTTAACAAGCTCCATGAATAGCTATGGCCTAACAGCTTCCTGTTTCTCAACTGTACTGGTGGTGTTTCTGAAACATAATAAAACAATAATCTGCAGGATGGAGGTTGCAGAGAAGGGTGGTTGCTTATCGAGGCACTGCAGTCTTGCCTCCCATCCCCTCCACTGTTTGCTGAGGCTTGGAGACTCCGTTTTTAACTACTGCACGAGCCCTTGGCAGCCATCTCCCATCAGGGCCTTAATCCTTTCAGAAGTCCTGGATGCAGAAAGCATCCCAAACCCACACCCCTGTCTAATTACTGCTGCTGTTCTGTGCCAGCAGCGCAGCGGGCTCCTGCTTTGCCTCAGGCCTGGATGCAGTGACAGAACTGCGCTGGATGTTCGCTGGGTGGAGTCCATCCCGCTGCCCCGCTCTGTACCAACTCTGCGGTTACTCTCATGCTTCCTTCTGTTCCCGTGTTCGAGCTTACTGGAGTCCATGTCCCAAGGGCAAAAGCTTGCGATATTTATAATTAAGTGACTTGTATTGAGGAAAGAACGAAGGCTTGAATAGGCCTATAGAGATGTTAATCTGTGTGATCCGTTTGGATAATGGAAAAGAGGAAAAATAGTATCTACAAAGAAAAAGTCGTGTGCGTGTGGTGCTCAGGTGCTCTGGAGTTATACTTTACTGAAAGCAGCTTTATTTTTAGATCTTCCAATAAAAAACGGATGTTGCTGAGATAGGATTAGAAGACAGAGCCGCGGGGCCGGTTCCCGTCACAGCCATCGATGCACACAGCTCCTCGCCATCCCCTTAACAAGTAAGAACAAATGCCCCGCTCTCTATTCAGGAGCTGGTCCGTGGCACAGCACCGAGCCATTCCGCAGCCGGAGCCGCTCAGACCTCCGACCACCCGCTCCCCGCTCCCCCCGCCCTCGCCGCCCGTGTCTGCAGCCCCTCCTCCCCGCGCCCCCGCCCCTTCACGCGGCCGCGCCGCCCTCCTTCCCCTCCCGCCTGCTACCGGACAAGATGGCGGCGGCCGCACGTTGGGCCGCGTTGGGTCTGGCGCTATGGCTGTGCGCGGCGGCCCGCGCCGAGGAGCCGGAGGGGAAGCGGCGGGCGGGGCCGGCCAAGAAGAAAGACATTCGGGACTACAACGACGCGGACATGGCCCGGCTGCTGGAGCAGTGGGAGGTGCGGGGCGGGGCTGGGGGCCCGCGCTGGGGTCTCCACGTTCGGCCGGAGGAGCGGGCGGCTCTTCCCAGGCATGGCCGCGGCCTGGCGGGGCGGTAGGGCTGCCCGGGGGTGCAGGCGACCCTGTGACAGCAGGTCGCGGCTGGGGTTGCCGGAAAGGAGCAGCTCCGTGCGCCGGAGCTGTGCGGAGGAGGGGCGGCTGCGCGAGGCCGGCGGTGAGCTGTGCCGTAACGTGGAGTGGTGCGGGTTTCTCCCTGTAGAAAGGTGTTTTCTTGGAAAATGGAGACAGCGTTTAAAGGAAACGGCTAAAAAGCTAAAGTTCACCTTTTATTAATCAGGCAAGAAGCAGATAGTCCTGGCTGCTAAAAATAAATAAAATGATTGTAGTGGGCAAATTCAGCTTAATTTGGCACAGTAGGGCAAATCATAAAGGAAAGGTTGTCTGAGGTGGTGAGTTCGTTGCTTGGACAGAAGGGTTGGTGCCTCTGGGGCTCTCCTGCTTCATGTCCTGTGCCAGCTGGGTGGCCAGCAGCTCTGCTCTTTTCCCTGTAGCTGGAGGTCTCTGTTTCACTTCACAGAGTGCTGCACGATTGCTCGCAGACGTACTGTGTGCAGCTGTGGCTGGGCAGCTCGGCTTGGCATTGCAGCCGAGGACATGCATGAACAGCCATGTGAGCAACAAGTTAATGGTAGTGGGAGCTCAACAATTCTGATGGTCGGCTGTGTGGCATTTCTCTAGTAGCTGTTGGGATGCCTACAGGGGACTGGAAAGACTTGAGGGTGGGGTGGATGGAGCATAAAGAAGAAAGGGCTTAATTGGCTTGAAGGGGTGGGATAAGAGAAACAAAGGAGCCATTATGGATTTGGATAAGAGTAGGAATTATGCTCGGGAGTGAGGGGGCATAGGGCACGGATCTGTGCAGAGCCAAGTTTCCTTGGTTTCAGTAGATTAAGACTCCTAATATTTTCTATTTTTGTGGCCATAAGGACAGAAACTACATTTCCCTATGAACAATTTTTGTTAGAGACTTCGTTGCAATCTTCAATGTTTTAAAAGCTTGTTTAGATAGCACCAAAGTGGGAGCAAACAAACTTATTATGAAAATCTCTCCAGGTTTCTGAGTGCCCTTTCAGCAGGCTGGAACAGTGCGGGCTTGCCAGTGTTAGAAGGTTTTAATATTGAAGTCTTGTTGATCCAAGACGCATCAGTAAGGGAGCTTCAGCTTACACAACTTACAGCACTTGCTCTATTCAGTCACTGCTTTTGTTAGAGAGGTGAAAGGATCCTTCTATGATGGAGTGACGGCATTGGTGGACGAAGGGAAGGCGAGAGATGTCATTTACCTGGACCTGAGCAAGGCCTTTGACATGGTCCCCCACCACATCCTCATCTCCAAATTGGAGGGAAGTGAATTTGATGGGTGGACGACCCGATGGATAAGCAATTGGTTGAAAGGCCGCAGACAGAGGGTGGTGGTCAATGGCTCTATGTCCAGGTGGAGGCCGGTAACAAGTGGTGTCCCCCAAGGGTCTGTCTTGGGACCGGTGCTCTTTAACATCTTTATTAATGACATCGATGAGGGAATTGAGTGCACCTTCAGCAAGTTTGCTGACGACACCAAGCTGAGTGGTGCGGTTGATACGGTGGAAGGAAGGGATGCCATTCAGAGGGACCTCGACAGGCTTGAGGGCTGGGCTTGGGTGAACCTAATGAGGTTCAACACAGCAAAGTGCAAGGTTTTGCATTTGGGCCGGAAGAACCCCAGGCACCCGTACAGGCTGGGAGGAGTGGTCCTTGAGAGCAGCTCGGCAGAGAAGGACCTGGGGGTCCTGATGGACGAGAGACTTAACATGAGCCAGCAGTGCGCTCTGGCAGCTCGAAAGGCAAATGGGATCCAGGGCTCCATCAGGAGAGGGGTGGTCAGCAGGGAGAGGGAGGTGATTGTCCCTCTCTACTTGGCTCTTGTGAGGCCCCACCTGGAGTACTGTGTCCAGGTGTGGAGCCCTCAGTACAAGAAAGACGTAGAGATCTTGGAAAGGGTCCAGAGGAGGGCGACTAAGATGATCAGGGGGCTGGAGCACCTCCCCTATGAGGACAGGCTGAGGGAATTGGGCTTGTTCAGCCTGGAGAAGAGAAGGCTGCGGGGTGACCTCATTGCAGCCTATCAATACCTGAAGGGAACCTACACCCAGGAGGGGAGTAAACTCTTCAGAAGGGCTGACAACAGCAGGACTAGGGGAAATGGATCCAAGTTGAAGGAGGAAAGATTTAGGTTGGATGTTAAGGGGAAGTTCTTCACAAGGAGAGTAGTTAGGCCCTGGAACGGGCTGCCCAGGGAGGTTGTGGATGCCCCGTCCTTGGACGTGTTCAAGGCCAGGTTGGACGGGGTCCTGGGCAACCTGATCTGAATGTGTATGTTTGGTGGCCCTGCTAGGCAGGGGGGTTGGAACTACATGATCCTTGAGGTCCCTTCCAACCCAGGTGATTCTGTGATTCTGTGTGATTCTGTGATAGGAAAAGTGCAGTTGGTTTCTGCCATGTAGAGATTTCCCTCGTGGTAAGGGCCTCTCCAGCAGCCTTGAGTCCAGAGGAGGTGGAAACAGAACAACTCCTGGACCAGGTTCTCAGCTCTGTTATTAAAACAACATGTCCTTTAAAACAGATTATTACTCAGGCTTGAATCTGAGC